GTTGCAACATACGGTCGCCATTGTCTGTTCTCTGAGCTGCGACACCATAAGATCCGACCAGGTGTCTTTTATTTTCGCTGAGTCTACCCACTTGAGCGTTTAATTCACCAGCCATTATTACTATATCAGAGCGCTCAACATCTTGGAGAAGTTTAGAGAGGTTTCTGTAAAACTTATCTTTCATATCGTCTAAACCGCAGTCAGTGGAAGCGTAGGCAGATACGACGAAGAGGCAACGGCGAATGTCCCTATCCTTTCGAGTCCCTACCGTCCGGTTTAGTCGGACAGCGCATAAGCGACTGTCTGTCGGGATACAGTCTAGGAGGGCTAGTTCTGCCCTAGGACGTAATAATATACCTACGCCGGTGAGGCCACGAGACGCGGCGTCAGGGCTTACAGAAACACGAAGCGTAAATCGTGTTGTGTCTCTATCTGCACTAGGTGAGATCAAATTGATGATTTTACTCGGGTCTTGTATGCGCGTTTCAGAGACGCAACATACATCGACCGCCCGGGATTCCAGAGTTCTAGCTAATGAAGCCTGTTGCCCTATTTGGCCTAGGGTCCGAACATTAAAAGCTCCTATATGTAATTTAGTACGGGGTTTTAAGTGACCAGGAATAATGTTTCGAGAGCTCGTACCGTTTGCTTCAGTGGCGTGAGGTGATAACCGATCGAAAGAAGGGTTTGTTGAGGAGATAAGAGAGTTCTTAAAAGGTGTAGAAAGGATTTGATTGTGACCAATTTGGTCGCGTGTGCTTTTATAGGCGGACGTTACTTCCCGGCTGCCCACACCGTCGAAGGTTGTTTCTTGAGGAACCTGAAAAAGAAAGTAGATTAGCGTTGGTCTTTACGGCCTGGGAGCGTGACCGCAGAGTCCAATAGACAACTGCTTGAGGCCGGTCATGCACAGCCTTTTTATGAAAGGATTTTTGAGTATTAGCCCCGCTCTTAAAAGCCCTTAGTGGGCCCTCTTACCGACGTAGACGGAAATCCGTAAGGCAGGGTGAGGCGTGACATTTGTAGGGTCGACCTTTTCTAACTCCTTCCTTCCTTGTGAGAAGGCAGCATCTCTGCAGATGCTGGTTGTCCGAGGGCAACACCTTACTGTTGCCACACCCCTCTGCAGCCAGCAGTACGACGTCGCCCTCAGACCTTGAGTAGCTGCTTTTAATCTCATCGTTCTGCAATCGACCTGCCTGGCATGGTAGAACCTTCAGGAACATATGTTCCAGCCAGTATAGCTCGGTCGGATCATCACGATAGGCAAGCCCGACCACCACGTCAATGTAGCAGCTATGATCGGGAGTCATGAGACTAGATTGTAACATAAGAGCAAAAAGTGGTTTCATGAAGAACTAGCCAAAGAGAAAGTTGAGAAACAACACTACATACCGAGGTGGTGAAGCACCACATTCAACAACCAGTTTGCGCAGTTCCTCTGGGGTATAGTTTGGAGGACAATTCCAGTAATGAAGAGTATGTGATGGAGGATAGATCCTATTTTTACTCGCTTTGTCTGGATTTATGTATCTATTTTCGCGACACCCTGAATAGTCTTTGAAAGATGGGGTACCATCTGGTAATTCAAAAGGTTTTGGTACATCGAGGATAAGTTGCTGTTTACTTGGACGAATCTGGAATTTAAAAGTGAATTCAGAACGTTAAATGAGTTTCCTGTTATATCAAAAATAAAGGGAATAACATTCAATTGATTAAAATAGATAGACACGACAGAGACTGTTGGGGTATTATGAGGCAGTGGAGCGAGCAATCTCAGAGGTAAGGCATCAGGCAAAGATGGCGAGTCGGCTGATGAAACTAAATATCTTAATGGGACATATTAACTTGACCTGACCACCACCTACCCAGTGTGGTGTCCGTTGAAGAAAGTTTAAAAAAGCCCAGGTCGACCAAATCAGTTAAGATATAAATCCAGAATGTCACTGACTGCTAGATAGGGCCATATTACTTGATTTAGACCTTCCATTTGAGGTTGGTGAGATAAAAGTGATCAATTGTCGGAGACGGTGGGTGAGGTGGCACATAATTAGTAACAGTAATTTAAATCAATTTACTCATCCGTAAATCCTGAATTTAAAAATTACGCTCCACTTTCTATTGTGCAAATAAATTCTTTTTCTTAAAACTTTCCTTGGCGACTAAACCTTTTTACTAACACTCATACTATTATTAGTACTTAAGTACTCATTTCGCTAAGCTGTGGCCAGAGCTTGGGCTGATATACAGATGTGCCACGTCCAAAGTTAGGCATGACTGATAACAGGAACAGATTGCCATTATAAGTCATTAATAAATGTGCCAGTGAGAAAAAAAGTGATAAAACGAAGTGTCATAAAACTAATAATCAGGAACAGTACTACACTAGAGGTAGAGAGAAATTAACTAGGGGAATCGGGAAGTCCAATGGTTTTCTTGGGTTCAAAGGGGATCCAATCGTACTTGAAGAAAGCTAGGGGCGGCCAAACCAAAACATGGCACAAATCCATGAAGTCATTGACGAGTGGACTTAGCCATGTCGGTAGTTGTCGACTACCTGGTTGGGATCCGCGAGATGATAATAATCGATGGTTAGTTACCCTGAATGACATGGCTCAGAACCGTTTGCAATGGCGCCGGTGCATTTATTCTTTGTGTTCTCTCAAATCCTAATCTTCTGGATTCTTCAACCCCTCTAGTTTTGACTCTCTAAACTTTTCTCACTGGATCATATTTCTTGAATATCTTCTAATCCTAACCTCTCCGATTACTTCTAATACCTTTACTACCTCTTCTACCATCGGATTTGAATTGACAATTATTTCTCTGTGCTGATAAGGTATGGCAACATGAACTGATGTACTTACGTACAAAGTTCTACGTTGCATCTGACTGACTGACTGAAATCGATTTTAGAACTAACTGTCACAGAACTACATCGGATACAAATTAACTTCGGTGTGAATCACATCTTTAAGGCAGAGAAATTTCGTGAAAGAACCCATAGCATGACAGCCATCAGCTATACAAAGCAAGCCTGAACGAAAACCAACTACAGTTATCCTTCAAAAGAACATATTTTTGCCGTGAAATATGAGGCTGGTATAATAATATTTTAGCTAACTCGTGAGCTTTGTTGCTTTTAATTTTGCTTCGGATCTCAATATAACATAAATGGTTTGAGTTATTGAAAATGGAATCCTGAGTATACATGAACACCATAGCTGACAGTAATGAGTTAATACTAACTACTTACACTTACTTTCCGTAGACACTTAATTTTCCGGCTACAGTGTGGTAATGAAGAGCTTCAATTTATCTTTTTGAGTTTTTAAAGGAAAGCTTGTTGGTTAAAATTAATATTTAGATAGTGATTAAGTCCTATAGAACACTATAATGATTCTTGTTTTCGATTAATTTTTGTTACACACTAAAGTTCTTCGAATAACGGGGATAAGTGAAGGAACACAGTAACAACACAATATGCCCGATACAAATAAAATCTTAATTCAGTTCATTTCTTTTATTTTAACGAAAGATATGCGAACTACTAACATAAGCTAAAAATTTATGTCAAATTAAACGATAATCAGATTTGCATGATCAAGTTTGTCTAAACGACTAAATGTTTGACAACAATATAATGACAGCACGTAGAACTAATTAAAACCACCATAAATATTTAGCAACTGAAGTGACCTATCAGTTAAACAACAAATAAACTTAAAACAGAAAGAACCATACCGACAGTGCATTGCCCATCAATGGGACTTCGGATAGGTTAGTAATGACACGATCTACACTAGCGTTATCGCCCATCTGCGCCATAGCTGATCCTTCCTTAGTCCTCAAAAACTTAATACGAACAACATTTCCATAGAGACAAAGAAGGTTGAACAAGCTAAAAATAAAACGAAAGAGTAATAATTAGAAATAATTGATCAAATTGAAAATCGATTACCGAAAGTTGAATGAGTTTATAGTTTTATTAAAGTTGGTCAAGTAGTAAACAAGTGGTTTATCCAACAAATATATTCTCGTCTATAATAAATCACAAGAAAATTAGTGAGATCATTTTTGATATTTTAAACAGCTCAGATGGAAACACATAGGGTTACTGCAACGAGCATTATATGATTTTTATGTAGCAGAATAAATAACCTAGTCGCTTAGTGGTATCCCCTACATTTGATTACGAACCATCAATCAATTAGGGTTCACCAACTAGCTGTGATTTGTTTACTCCCATAATATAGTTGATTACCAACCCTAACCTTAGTTTTGACTTATTTTCTACGTTTTATGATTCATCATGTAAATACCATACAAAACCAGAAGTAGGTGTGCATGGTACAATTTCGTATTGATTAGACAAATAGAAGAGATGAAATTATGCAGGTAAAACTGGAACCAGTCAATTTTGTGCTAGGATTTACACAGTTTAAACAGATAAGGGTAAGCTGATAGATACACGAAGGAAAGGAGACGAACCATGCACGAAAGTGTAAGTTTACAACTGAAGGCACGCGAATAAAATGAAGATCACTAGTCTTGTTATCAGTCAGTCAGATGCAACTAGTCTTGTTACGCACTAATCAAATAGACAAAATGGCTTTAGTTGCTATACACGTAAGGTATTTTTGAGGTTAGAAACGCTATTAATCGTCGTGTAACCCAAGGCACTAATTTGGGTATTTTATATTATCTTTTCTACATCAATGAACCACTGTGACTTTTTAAGTCGTACACACTGTTTACAGACTGTCAAAATCTATTAATCAACAATTAGTGAGGCTGATCAGCTTGATCTTCAAGCTAACACACTAAATGTGTTAGTGTGCATCGAACAGGATAGCGGTTACTGGTATACTGACAATCGCAAATCGCTTCCATACAACAAAGGCTGGGTAGGTGGAGAGTTGTTTACACTATAACTACCTATTATATGATTACTCTGTTGTTATGTTATTTAACACCATATTTGCCAAGTAATAGTACAATTACCAGTGACGGTAACCACTTCCCACTTTAATGTTGAGTAAGTTACATATCTACCGGTGATACCTGAGTCGACCAATGAAAACAATTAGATTCAGAATTAGGAATACGGAGAGCCGATTCCATAACAGTTTGCAGAAAATTTAAATAATAGGTTTTACCAACCCAACAAAATTTGTATTAAAAATGAACCGGTTACCGATCACAGTTCATATGATCCATATCCATGTTGTACACCATAATAACAGGAGTCGCAGCCCTCGCATAATGTTGACCATTCAACCCGTCGAGACCACGTCTTGATACATGGTAATTTAGAGCCAATTGGTCCAAGAACGACGCAGGTGGAACACCAAGCCCAACAGCATTCTGCTTTATGAAGCCATCATGATACCCGAAGCTGCCACCATTAACAGATCTCGAGCTTTCGTGTCGGGCACGTGACCTTTCGAATCGTCCTAGGGCGCAAATAAGTGAAAGTTTCTCTTACCCAATAGAGAGATATCTCCACGCCCATCAGCTTCGTTAAGTGAGGTGGACATTAATAATGGATTTTCAAAATCCCATGAGTCTTGATCATTGCGAGTGACAGTCAACCGTGTAGGTCGAGCAAACTCAACTTTTAATGTACAACAGCCAGAGTATATATCGGCTCCATTCAGATGCCGTTTAGCGGTCCGGGCTTCGTCTGTACTTTTAAATTCTACCATAGCCTTTGAACAAATAAAGCATCAAACTATAAGTACCTGTATGCGGGTTTTACGGAGTATGACAATACGTAAAACGCGTCCATGTTTGGCTGTAATTTGATTAATAACATCCACCGTGATAGGATACTGGGCATTGTAAACTGTTAACATTAGTACACGGCTTTCTGGAGGCATGTCGGGATGTTGGTTATTATTATCCAGCGGTCTGTGAATCACTCGTTTAGATGTGCTATAGTTAACTTTTAATCGGTGATTAGCAAACATAACAGCATTATCTGAACATCTAAAAAATATTTGATTGACGCAATACTGTGTATTACCTTGCAACAGCTCTTTCAGCAGAATTTATGTCATCAAATTCAATGAGTGCTTGACCTTTATGTGGAATCATAGCAATATCTCTAATAGAACCAAACTGTTCGAAAACCCTGATTAAATCTAGCTCGAGAGTATGTTCTGGCAACTCTCGTATATGAATAACTGGAGATGGCTCCAAATCTTCCCAGTCATCCGGCCTGTTTCTCTTACGGTTCGCCATCAAGTGTGCAGTTTGAATTTTGTGCATTTGATGATAGTTTGAAATAACAAAAGAACCATAACTTTCCATTGACAAGAATAACACCTCCAAAATCTTTTCCACGAACTGGTGTGAACCACTTGACTTTTTTCGGTCGATTCTTGTCCTTTCCTACGGTTTCAGGTATTTCATATTTAATTTCGAAAGTTCTTTAGAATGGTGTTATGGGTTGAGGAATATAAAAAACTCTCAACAATTTGGCATTTATGTTTATTGGGGTTGAATCTGTAGCAGTGGACAAATCCCTAATATATAGGGTTCCTTAGGTCTTCATTATGGATGCTCACCTCAATTAGTTTTAGTGGACACACCCTACCCGAAGTTGCTCGGTCACGAATCCGCTTCTCAGCATCCTAATCATCGTTCGAATTTACTTTCTATCCTCATCATTCCTGACTTCCGGTTTGACGTGGCTTGGGGTACTCTTGACCTGGAAGGTTTTACGGATAAAATCATTGTCTAACTCTGAATATCCGTGACATCCACAAATGTGTTAGCCTAGTCGTGATGTGCCAACCTATTGACTCAATAGAGTATGATAGCCTATTCCATTTATGCCTCTTAATTTCCCATGATGTAGTTACTGAACATGCTAATTTTATCAAAATAAATCTTGCTATTAACTGAAGTTATAAAGGCAGTGAGTGAAAAAACTTAAGGTGGTATTCTAAGGCAACTCAAAGGATTTCACCAGTGTAGAGAAAGTGGAGTTGATTAACACAGACTTATTCTATAAACGATCTTCGCCTTTTTATATATTTTTGTATTTGTGTATCGTTCACTGTCTCTGTTCTGGTGATGATAAATCTTTGTTCCACCATAATTATTTGGTTAGTCAGAGTTCGTTTCATTTGTCATTTCCACTTCAACATTTCTCAGATTTTCCCGAAAGTTTTTGTCGTTTTGACAATTATTTCTGGTACATCTATATAATTTATGCACCTAACAATAAGACATGCTGATAATGGAACTGTCAAAGCCTACACCAGTTAAACTATGTATCCAAACTCACATCAACTACCTGAATTCACAAATCTAGTTTTCACGTATATAAGCTTTGTTCAATAAAAAGAACCAACGGCGCAATTAAGTAAGTTGGTGAAGACAGGTCACCAGTAAGATAATTAATGAGCAAGTTGTAGAATCTATTTTGAAAACTTTGTTTTTGGAAAATCCCTCCATGTATATATATTCGTGTTATGATCTGACTGACTGTTCGATATTTTGGTACTCTATTTGATCCCATTTTGGGATTTTATAATTTGTATCTTGTTATTATTTCTATATCTTTTACTTTTATTGAAGTTTCTATGTTTCCTTCTGAACTATATCTGTGTTGTTTGAAATTGATACTTAATATGGCTACAGCCATTTTTGGATTTGATACTCTAGCAGCAGCTCGTTACAACTAACTGGAAGCACTTACTCTTCAGTATCGAAACTTATTGTTGTGATTAGAAACTCGAAGGTGTAATATTGTTTTGGTAATTGTCTGTATTTCCTTTTTTGATTAAAAATGGAACATTTGTTTCCCAGATTTGTTATTTTTGATCTTGGACTGGGCGAAACGCGTGTGAACCTACACCTGTTTGGATTCAGAGCTCACTGCGAGAGTAATAAATATTTCTACGCAAGTAATATAATGAATAATATGCGAATCAAAAGAACTCAACTGTCAGAAATAAATTGAATTTAATAATAATAATAATTTACTCTCAAATAACAAACATGTTGCAAGAGACATGCCGATTTACAGGCAAGATCAAAATGTTGAGATTAGCCACATATTTCTTTTAAAACGGTATACAGTTACTGAGACATTTCACGACATTCATTGGATTCCTAAAGATGGAATGTACAATGCGAATAATTTGCTCGAGTTAGGAAGCTTGCGTTACGACTATCGTCTTTTTGACTGCGAAACGATGCATGGTAGAACCAGGTTTGCATATAACAAGAATTGATGCAGTATATGTGCAAAGGTCTGATTGATATTCATCAGCTAATGACTTCACAGGCTCCTGGGTATGGTAACCAAGTCTACTGCAAATATCCAGACTAATAAATGAGGATTGGAATAAGGTGCTGAAAAAAGAGAAATAAAGAGAACGGGACGAGGAGCAGAACAGAAAATATTCATGTTTAGAGCCGAACAACGGCTTAGCATATACGTTTTTGGATAAAACAAAGGTATGTTTACTCAGACTTTTTTATATCAGAACACTAACTGTACACCTGCACTTATGTAGGTTAATGAAGACAATTCAGTAGTGAGATAACTAATGGGAAGTTAGTCGTATGAATAGAGGAAATTCAGAAGAACCAAGTTGTTAAAAATAATTTACTGAATAGAATAATGAAGTCCCAGCGATCTGATGCTTCAGTGGTATTTCATTTACTGTCTTTTTAACTCTGTAACTCAAGAAGTTAGGAGTCAGCTCGTTTTCACCATAATTCTCTAGATCTGCTTGTTGTAGGATTTCTTGGTAGGAAGTGAAACCAGTACAAGGTTACGAACATGAGTCGCAGACGTGATTAACAAGGAAAAGTAACATCAATACCTTTTACAATTCTTCGGTCTCTCCAAAACGTGCACCTAACCGTTTTTTAACGCTCACCCCCTCAACAGAGTTGTTTTACTACCTCCAGCTGTTGAGGGCGATATTTCCTCCTCCTTCAAGTCATGCTCTGCATTCTGTGATGTAATGGATCACAACCATTCTTTGCCACTATCTGCCCCTTCCAGCTGTAATGCTTTTATGTCTGGTCCTTTTGACAAACCACCTTTCACATTGTCCAAAGATTTGACTTACCCCACTATACCTAATCCAATGGACTTACTAAACGATCCACGTTTATGCCCCCTTAGCGACTTCCTCATATGTTCTTTGGGGGTCATCAGTTAACTCTGACGAACAACACTTATCATATCCTACCTCATACGCTTCTCTCACCATGCCTGTCTCTGAATACCTTTCTCCCTCTAACTATATCGCTCACAAATTAAATAACCGTAACAATCAAGCCTATATTCCTACTTTCAGCCCTCCTTCAGAACATACAACATACAACCCTCCAGATGCCCATCGTGCATCCCTGAAAGATGAGTATTCATCCTACGTAACACTAATGCTAATTAATTCCCGATCTGTTATCAATAAGATTACCCACTTACGCTCTCTGGTAATTCTAAACAATCCTTCCATTGTCCTGATTACTGAAAGCTGGTTGTCCGCCGATGTCCCTCACTCATACCTCCCAATAGACTCTTATGAACACTTTTGAGGTGACCGAGGATCTAAAAAGGGTGGTGGGTGCCTCATCTATGTATCTAGAGACATCAAGGCAGAAATGTTTTATGATACTGTTCTTAATCAAGTGCCTGATTCGATATGGCTGACTGTGCACGCCCATAAATGTAAAATACTGGTTGGATGCATATATCGAGCTCCGAACACTCATCGATCGGTTGACGCTGCTATTGGTGAATCGTTTGCCAGGGCTGCCTGTCTTAAATTCACTTGCAAAATTATTTGTGGTGACTTCAACCTCCCTGGAATCAACTGGCAGACACATTCCGGTTGACTACGCCTTGATAGCTTGCTTGGTCCCCTAGACACACATGGTTGGCAACAACATGTGCACCTGCCTACTAGAAACCACAACATTCTCGATTTGGTATTTTGTCACGATGTCACCCCAGCATCTGTGTGTCTGCGAAACGTTTCACAACAGTGACCGTAAAAATGTCCTCTGTACCCTTCCGTTTTTTGCTAAATGTGACAAATCTTAAACAGTAAACCGTTTTCAATACAGAGACTATGAACATGCTGACTGGGACAGCTTTCGGTTTCTAATTCAGCAATCCGACTCGACTGAGTTTTTTTGTCTTGAACTTCCTGATGCATTACATATAATAATAATATTTATTCTCAAATAACTACGTTACAAGAGTCACGCCACTTTACAGGCTAGATCAAATTGTTACAAATGCTTTCACAATTACTGTAAAGTTATAGCAGTTAAATTAAGTATGAGAGTCAGTTTCTGATAGCATATTTACACCATGTCACTGACAGAAACAGTATAATACAGTATAATATATTCAGTGTCACCATTAAACCTGCTCTAGACACGACTATCCCACTCAAAACGTCCTTCAAAACAGTTACTCCTTATATCACCTATAAAGCTAGGGCTAAACTACGTTAACTAAAACGGGCATATTTCAAATCTAAGGACTTCAGCATCCTGTACCAAATTTACGCTATACTTGAAGGTGTGAAATATCAACATGAAGTGCGTAAGCAAATCGAAGAAAATAATGCTCTCGCTACTGCGTGTAAGTCCCAAAACCTCTGTCGTTTGCTTAACAAACGCAAAAAAAGGACTCAGATCGCAAAATCCATTCTATACTACAAGATGGGCAGACTTATTATGACGAAGCTGTCATTTGCGAACTGTTTAGCACATGGTTCTCTCTCAATCAAAACACATGTTCTACCCCTGATACCAACATTAACCGTAGCAGTATGTATAATATTTGTACCATCAAATTTGATCTTAACAATATTCAAGCCGCAATTAAAACCCTCAAACCCAATGGCAGCTGTGGTGTGAATGAGATACCAAGCTGTTCTATATTGGTGCATAATTAATGAGGAAGACGATGTCTTGAGTTCTTGCTTTGTAATTTGACCGGTCTATACGTTTTCAGGTAGTTTGTACATAAAAGGCATTAGATTAGGACTTCATTACAAAAGGAGAGTGTGAGTTCGTGCAGGAACTTGTCGTAAAGGATTGGACTAGACTTAAGCCTTCTTTTCTAATGTGATACAAGTCCATGTTCATGATACAGGAAGAGGTAGTTAATGAGTAAGTTATTTTTAAGCATTTTAAGCGTGAAATTCGTTGATATTCCTTCAATTTTAAACAGATTAGATAGGCTTAATTTGGAAAATAAGAATAGGGCAGTATTCAGAAGTAATCCTTGCACAGACGTCT